TTATTAATAAGAATCAATCTTTTGTCGCTGTTATATATATATATATATATAAAGAATCAATCTCTTGTTGATAAAAATAAATATTTATATTTTATAAAGATCTCATGATCGAGATGCTCGTTCATTTTGGTTCTCGAGTGTTTTTGGGAACAGGTGTCTTCGTGATTGAAGCAGCTGTACAAAAACAAATCCGAGTGCAATACCGCGGCTTTGGAAATTAAGTGTTGCAAAAGACAAAATTTGTTATAGCGCAGCTAATGGTTAAAGTTGCTGTTGGAGGAAATTAACAATCTTATCTTTTCTAGTTCTGCGCCATCTGTATGCGAAGAACATAGCATCATTAGTTGGTGTGTCCACTGAAAGAGCAAGAGTGGCTGTTTCTGAAAATATACTCTTATAGCTAATGTATTAAGGATAAGTAATCACATTTTCAAGCTAGGAGCTATCCCTAGAAGAATTGAACCGATGTCATCGTCTCCAGAGATGAGGGTGAGTTAGACTAGGTTTGGGATTGCTATCTCACAACACGTCTCTTTGAGGATCTGCCAAGCGCAGTCATGAGTGCGCCAGCTTTAGAGATCTCTTCAAAGCATATATAGTTTTTTTCATCTACCCTTCCCATTGTAACGAAAAAAGGGGTGTCTGTTTCCTAATCTATGGTGCAAATAATTTTGAATCCACCCCTTTCTCATCGGTTATGCTGCACTTCTCTTGCCTGTGTTAATTATGCTACAAAGTATAGGACGGGTAAGTAGAGGCTGTTAGCGGCTGTTTGGCATTGCATATTTTAGGAGTTGTCCACAGGAAATTTTTTTCTCTTTTATAACATGTTTGATTTAAGGGAAATAAAAAAAATTTTCCTATTGAGATAAAAAAAAGTTGAAGATGAGGGTTTTTTTTTTTTTAGTTTATTTGTCTTTACATTTTAGTCAAACTAAACGAGAAAAGAGGAGAGAAATGGAAGAATATATATTTTTTTATTTCTTTCAAATTAACCATAAGAGTATATATAATGGTATTTTATTTTGTTGTTTTTTTCTCAAAATAGTACAGAGACAGAGCCTTACTTTATTGGAGAAGAGTTCGAAAATAACACTTTTAATATTATAACATTTTAAGATAATAAAATAAATAAAAAGTGTTGCAGTGTCCGACTTCGTATCAGATGCTGCAGCCCACACTTCATCCAACAGCATAGATGCAACACTTTTTTGATTTTTTTTTTTAATTTTTAATTATTATTATTATTTTTGATATCGAGATGAGATTCAAATTTCATACTTACTAAATTTAATATGAAAAATTCTTTACAAAAAAGAGATAGTTACTAGACCAAGAGGACGTTCTCCAAAATTTGTTTATTTGAATATAAATGATTTGGTTAAATAAAATAACATTTATATGATTTTTAAGGAAACTTTTTGTATAAGAGGAGAAGTATTCTATTTTAGAGTTAACGGATAAATCTATTTATATATAAATTTTATATATGATATTTATATAAAATATTGATAATTTATTTTTTTATTTTTAATAGTTAAGATTTATTTATTTTTTATTATATTTATTAAAGATAATAAATTTTTAATTTAAAAAATATAATAAATCTCAATTATTAAAATTAAATAGATGAATAATCAAGAGTTAAATATGTAAAAGTATGAATTTAGATAAAATACTATTAATTATGATGATATGACATTAAAATAAGATTTTTTATTATTTCCATAGTACATGTTCTAAAGGCTATTAAGTCTGAAAAATTCTCTGAGGGAAAGCTTCCCTTTTTTTTTTTTTTAAGAAGTGATTATAGACAAGTTTTGCAAATTATTTAGCTTTTTGAAAAAGATGAATGAGCTGCAGAAATGCTCAGGGAGTACTTTTGCTAGATATTGTATTTGGGTTGATTCGGTAGAAATTGTACATGAATGTCTAATGTTGTTAGTAGAAACAAGCACCATTCTTGGACAGGGACTTAGACCCATATAGAAATTACCAAAAATGATGTTGCCCCAAGATAGAAATATGGCGGATTTGGCATCAACACAAAATTTCCACGCACAGTTATTTTTAAATTTCCATTTTTGGGGTCCTTGAACTATTAGACGATAACAGTTTAGCCCTAGAACTATTTTTTTAATATTGCAATTGTCAAGCGGACAGTGAAATGAGAGGGCCTGCATTAAACAAGGAGTCCTTGTAAGATACATGTGACCGAAAGTCCGAAACCAAGTAGGCAAAAGGAACAATTTAACAGCCATCATACTTTTAATAGTTATTCAAATAATCTTTTAAACTACTTTTGCCAATCATGCCCCTAAATTACTCAATCTATGTAATAAGAATCAATTAGTTCTCCAAATACTCTTCTCAGTTACTTTTTGGTCAATTTATGTTAGGAATCGAATCTTCTGCGATGATCGTTGGGAAAGAAAGCAAAATCTTTAAGTTTCTTTAAGCTGAATCATTTATTTGGTTGAAGACAAGCTTAAGATCACTAAAAAAAAATTGCCTATTGTGACACCCTTTATTGTGATAGTTTGCACTAAAATTACACTAAATAATATTT